CCCCGCAAAAGAACAAAAGAAAAGAAAACGACTCCCCTGACCTTCCGTGGAAAACAATTCCTTTACCCTTTGAAGCTGTATTGACCCAGCAGTGTGAGACGATTACGGCCACGTGTTGGTCAGTGGTCCAGTCCCGCCGGGGAGCAGACCTAACGACTTCCGTGTGGTCAGTCCAGGACCCCAGGGACAGGCGTCCATTGACGTCACGTGACACAAACCGGCGTCTTCTAGTTTGTCTGTCTCACGTTAACCCTTTGAGGAGCCAATCATTGAGGAGCCAATAATCTACAATGATTTGACAACGCATGAAGACGTGCTATTGTGGGCTATAACTTCATTATTCAGACAGTTAAAATAACAATTGTGAGGCAGCGTGGTGGAATCAGGCTCTCGTCAATTTTTGAGCATAATGAGTTATTGGTATCATCTTAAAACTTGTTCATTTGTCTTGCTTTAAATGAAACATTACCCATCCATCTTCAATAGAAGTGAAGATATTTTGAATTGAAGGAGGTGGGGGTCACCTGGTTTCAGAGGTAAAATTAGTGAGAAAATGGCCGCCAAAGCTTGGTAAATTCCAAGGCTAGAGAGTCCATAGAAACTGAAAATTTATATTTTTTTCTTTCCTAATTCCTCTTCTTCTTTTATATGTTTGTCACTTTCTTGTGAACTGCTATTTCCGGGGTGCCATGGTAGTCGAAGCAGACTTTGTGCTGTTGAAGCTAGAAAGGTTAGCAGAGTAAGCCTGATTCCCCGTTTGGACTTCTCTGTTGACATCCACCCCTTGGCGCTCATATGACCTTATTATACAGTTGCGAGCGCAGTAAAACCTTACTAAAACTAAAACTAAAATGTGGTGCGTGGAAAAGCTTGGAGAATATCAACCAGCCGATGACTGGCGCAATCAACGAGCAATCCCTTTCATGGAACCTGGAGAGGAGGGAGGAGCAGCTATGGCACTGTACCACCTGCGGTGATACCTATTCTCCACTCCAACCAATGATCAATGAAACGTAGCCTTGTACTCTGTGGCTGTTGGGACACATTATGTGTATGCCTACACAACGTCAAAGAGATTATATTAAGTACTAAGTGATGTCCCTCACGTGACCGGACGGGGGCTTCCTGTGCCCACCGCGGTGCGCTGAACCTGAAGGGCAAGACAAGCGCCGATCAACAAGCGTGCGGGTGCTTTTCGAGACCCACGTGGGGGCGTCTCGGTGTTAGAAACAGGAGATCTACAAGCTTGCTTTGAAATAAGGGGCCTGGGCGGTGTTATAGATAAGATCATAGTCTCTCTAATATTATACTCTCTCTCTCTATAATTATGTACACGAATTCTATATTATATATATTAATATTACACACACACACACACACACACACACACACACACGGGGGCTCTCATGGCCTAGAGGTTAAGGTGTTGGCCTCTCATTTAAAGGTCCCGGATTCGAATCCAGGTAGCTACCGACAAAACATTTCTTCTCTAAAATAGCCTCCTTTCACCTCCTTTCCTGCTCTCTAGCAATGTTCTGTCGTCTGCTTTCGTCTCCTTTTCCTGCCCCCACCCCCTCACTTTCTTTGCCCCTCCTCTGGGCTTCTGACTCTTTCTGCGGCCTGTCTAGTGCTACTCCTGGCTCCTTTTTACTACTGTCTTTCAGCCACACCCCTGATCTTCTGGAAGGAATGATCTACACCTAGCCTTTTCGGACAAGGGCGAAAAATCTCGGAGGTCCCGTGTGCAAATTGTGCACGTTAAAGATCCCTTGGTGGTCTATAATCGATAAGAGTAGGCTTCGGCCGCCACCTGGGCAAAATACAAAATGTCCTACCTACTGAAAAAGTTAAATGTTTCCCGCGCGCTCATATGACCTTACTTATGCAACCCATCATCAAAGTACATATGTCTTTCTTCTTGGATAATCCACACAACTAGGTTCGGGTCTTTTTTTTTGGGTAAGTGTTTTACGGCGCACGTGGGTATCTCTGTGCCACCACTTTCCAAAGAGGAAATTTACCCGTTAATCCGAATCAGTACGCTTTGCATGGCAGTCTGTCAAAATGATTTTTTGAGAAATACTGAAAGTTTCAAAGAGATTTTCGTACTAGAAGTGTGAAGAACACAACCCTGG